ACAAACTCTCAGGCTGCTCCACAGAAGAAAGATGAGATTTTCTGCTCCAGTAAAGATTTAAAATCTTGGAAATCCTATGAGTCAGAATTGACTTACTGGCACTGGGTTTGGTTTATTAAATACGTTTTAGTATTTAATTTTACTGTTTATTATAGCTAAACGATAACAGAAAATGTTGACATTTTAAAGGATTTCTTTTTACTCAGATCCAAAATCAATGCCCATGGAAACAGCAGACAAGAAATCAAACAACATATTACATGGGTAAGTATAATGCAAAACACCTCTTTAAAGTGTTCAAAGCAAAGATGTCACTTTGAGAACTAAGGTGCACCTGACCCAAGCCATAGTATTTTCAATCACCTTATATGCATGTGAAAGTTGGGCAATAAATAAGGGAAATCAAAGAAGAATTGACGTCTTTGAATTATGATGTTAGTGAAAAATATTAACTCTACCATAGACTGCCAAAAGAATGAACAAATATGTTTTGGAGGAAGCACAGTCAAAATCCTCCTTGGAAGGGAGGATGGTAAGATTTTGTCTCATGTACTTTGGACATGTTACCAGGAGGAACCAGTTCCCAGAGAAGGACATCATGTTTAGTAAAGCAAAGGGCCAACAGAAAAAAGGAAGACTCTCAAGGAAATGGATTGACACAGTGGCTCACACACAGCATCATTGTGGGGATAGCACAAGACCCTGCAATGCTTTATTCTGTTGTACCTAAGGTCGCTATGACTCAGAACCTGTTCAACACCACCTAACAACAACAAATGCAGGTACACTCTAAACTGGAGAGAAAAAAGTTGTGTATTCTCTGAAAAGTGTTTGGATTGGGAAATATCAGATATGAGGGTAAGTCAAAAAGTATTGCTATAAAATCATGGTGTTGGGTGACGTCCAGTCGATTCCGACTCATAGCGACTTCATGCACAACAGAATGAAACACTGTTCAGTCCTGTGCCAACCTCACAATTGTTGTTATGCATGAGCCCGTTGCTGCTGCTACTGTGCCAATTCATTTTCTTGGGGGTCTTCCTCTTTTTCGCTGACCGTCCACTTTACTAAGCATGATGTCCTTCTCCCAGGACTGGTCCCTCCTGATAATATGTCCAAAGTATGAGAGATGAAGTCTCATTATCCTCACTTCTAAGGCACATTCTGGCTGTACTTCTTCCAACACAGATCTGTTTGTTCTTTTGGCAGTCCTTGGTACTTTTAATATTCTTCTACAACACCATTATTCGACTGCATCGATTCTTCTATGGGCTTCCTTATTCACTGTCTAACTTTCACATGCATATGAGGTTAATGAAAATAGCATGTCTTAGTACACCTCAGTCCTCAAACTGATATCTTTGCTCCTGAACACTTTAAAGTGGTCTTGTGTAGCAGATTTTCCTAATGCTATCATTAGTAAATAAAAATATCAAAATGTGATGGAAGCTATTGTTTCTTGATATATCTTCTGTCTAGGTCTATACACTTTTGAAGGTGGTGGTTCCATCTATCATCTTTCCTGAAGAATTCTGTGTTCTCTAAATGGCAGTCTGGTATCCATAAACAACTCAAATTCTGTTCCTTTTACATGGTCTTTGAGTCTGGGGATCAAAAAGAAGTCTGAAGGGGCAAGATTAGGGTCACAGAGTGAGTGGGTTAAGGATTCCCAATTAAATTCTCATAGGACAGACAGCCTTTGCTACTCTTGAAGAATGAGCAGAAGCATTGTTGTGATGGGAAAAAAACATTGGGGTCAAACTTTCCTGGCTGTTTTCTCAAAAGCATAATTCTCCATTTTCTTCAAGTTTCTTCATAATGAGCTCCCATGAACAATCTGTGTCCTTCAAGAAAATCTATCAAGATGACCCCTTTGGGGTCCCAGAAAACAGTCACCATAACCTTTTGAACTTGTTTCTCTGCTCAGCAACTCAGCAGATTTCCTCAGAAGCCACTGTTTGGATTTTTTTTTTTTTTTTGAAGGCACCCTAATGAGACTGGTGGTGGTGGTGCTAAGTGCCTTCGAGTCACTTCTGACTCATAACGAGTCTTTATAGGGTTCTCAAGGAGCAGCTGGTGGAACAAGTGTATCACTGAGGAAACTGGGCTGCAGCCATCCACTGACCACAGAGACATGTTGTATAATATACCCGGATGTTTTGAGTAGTTAGATACTATAATTCTGTTCATTGGTTCAATCAAAAGTACTTATTCAATGACATGAAAACAAATAGATAATTTGTGAAAATTTAAGAGAAGAATTCTATTTGTTATCAAATAAGTTAAGTCACCAGTGTGATTTGGTTCATATGGGTGTGAACATGAACAAAAATATTAACTTCCTGTTGAGCCCCAATCATGTCAGAGGCTGAGAGAACACAGGTATACAGCACAGTCAGGAAAATTACTGAGGTGAGATGGAGCTACAAAGTTAAAGCAGAATCGAAGTAAGACAGATGTACTGGTCAGATAGAGACACATGGAATCTCAAAGACTTGTTGTTAAGTGTCGTCAAGTCGGTTCCAACCTACAGCAACCCTGAACAGGGTTTCCAACGCTGTAAATCTTTACGGGAGCAGAAAGCCTCATCTTTCTCTCTGGGAGCAGCTGGTAGTTTCAAACTGCTGACCTTGCGGTTCACAGCCCTATTTGTAACCACTACACTATCAGAGCTCCTTGTGGCCCTTCCTTTCCCTTCAGGACTAGAAAGGAGCTCACCCCCATGACTCAAATTTCCAGCCAAGTCATAGAGAGTCTTTTATAATGCGAGCAATAACACTAGGGAGGTCCCCACATCTTAGAATAAGCAACCATTTCAGATCAAAAGGACAGCACTTACCCAAAGACCAAGTTCAGAAGGGCTAGGAAAGAAGGTGGGGTGGAAGTTCGATCAGTGATGTTATACTGAGGGGATTGAAATCAGTGCAATTAAACAAAATGTGCATGAACTGTTGAGTGGAAAACTGGTATTTGTAATCCTTCACCAATTCACCATAAAAAGTAACACACGCTCAAATAGGGATTAATTTCTGCAGTACTCAAGAGTAGTTACCAACCAACCAACCAACAAACAAAAAGAATGGTTATCAAAATCATGAATTAACATCCTTTTGAAAATTTTGTAGTGAAAGATAAACTTAATTGGATCCACATATCCTTGCCATAGACTTTGATATGAGGGGGCTTCAAAAACTTCATGGAAAAATCCATTATCTTTTCATTCCATTTTTCCACAAACTTTTTGAAGCCCTCTTGTATGTGAAAAACAAGACCTTTGATCTCTACAACATAGGGAAATTCTAATAAAATATAGGCAATTCAGACACAATAGTATTTACTGGTAAGCATTAGCAAGGGTATTTTTTTGAATAATAAAAGAAACCATAATAAATTAATTTCATAAATGATACTATGGTTAGGCCTCACATTCAGTCTGTTGCTGTGGTAGATCCAACACTCTTACCAACATATTTATTTTAGAATAATGCATTTGTTTTATCTGAATTAAACTAATACATTCATATCCTTCTCAAAGGATATGAGGTTGCTTGTCTCCTTTGTTTTGAGATTTATAAGATATTCCTATAAATGTGTGAGAATCTAAGAGAAATATGTACTATTTCTCCTTTAAGGAGAAACATTGAAATAATCACTTGAAATAGTAATTATTAATCAGGGATCAAAAGAACAGTTGCTGGAAATTTCTGATCTTGCTAATTGGCTCTTTGCACAGCCACAGCTGGCAGGAAGGTAACTTCCTTCTTGCTTGATAGAATTGAAAGGGAAAGGGGAAAGTTTTGTTCTAAAGATTAATGTAAATTCATTGCAAAGAAATCTTGTTTTTAAATTATTATATGCTTTAGTATAAATGGGGACACAGTCTTCCTCATTCTTCAAATGACTTCCAGACAGTAACTCGATGAGATGGTGTGTGAGTCATTTCTAGAGTGGTTAGTTTCCTTTCACTTTGGTGGTCCTATTCCTATCTTTGTTTCCACTACCTACTGTGGCTGTTAAATGTGCATTATCTGGAAATAACACGTGGTTGTTGCTAAGTGCCATCAAGTCGGTTCTGACTCATAACCACCCTGTAAAGGGTTTCTGAGGAGCAACTGGTGAGTTTGAATCATGGACCTTGCAGTTCAAACCGACTTTGAGGTCAAGTGTTAATTGTACAGAGCCACACCAAGACTCCATCTGTAAATAACGGAGTTGGTCAAAACACATCTCTACTAGGTGCATAGACGTCCTAAAGGTGCGATGGATAAATGCTCATCTGCTAACTAACTGAAAGGCTGGTGGTTTTGAACTCACTAAATGGCTCAGAGGAATCCTGGTGTGCTGCTGCAAGGTCAGAAGTTCAAACCTACCAGCTGCTCCTTGGAAACTCTATATAGAAGCACTGCGAGTCAGAACCAACTTGATGGCACACAACAACAACAACTATCATGGCTTTGCAGGAGTAAGACCTGGCCATCTGCTGCTGTAAAGTCTAGAAAACTCTGTGAGGTCACAATGAGTTGAAATCTACTCGACGTACCCAACAACATTAGGAGTGCCGTTCTGTGTTTCTCTTCTAAAGTCCTGGCCTTATAATACTCTGCCGCAGTTCAGCTAGTAAGTTTCTGTTGCCTAGGTAGCATGTTGAAGAGCTGACAGGACTGGTAGTAAAAGTGGGAACATGCAAAGGCGGTGCTGGAAACTGGCTTATGCTTAAGGCTAAAAAATAAACATTTTTTTTCTTCTCCCACGTATTGTGATTAATCTGTATACTTAAGCACTGACCCCCGTCCCTCTCAAAAAAAGGCACATTTTTAACCTTATCACTATCTAGATGGGCAAATTATTATATGATTTTTAGCATGAATCCAAAAATTATTTTAGCCTTTTAAGAAGTTAGATTTGAGTTATTGGGTCTGAAGCTTTCATTACTATAGCATTTGAAACGGAATTCTGTCCTGAATGGGTACCCCAAGATGTATGGTCAGTTTAAGTGGTACCTGTACGGGTTTGTCATCCTCTTGTCCAATCAGGTTTTTCCATTCCATAAGCGAGCGTTGCAGATGTTCAAGTCCAGTTTCCCAGAGCCGGACGCAACCTCCCATGTCAACAGTAACAACGCCACCATTGCCCCACTCAGCAAGCAGGACATCTGTATCTGAGATGGTAGACAGCCAAGTGGTATATGGCGAGAGAAAATCTGATCTGAAAGGAGAGACCAAAGTGAAGGTAACACACCGAAGAAAGATTGTGGACTGGTTGAAACTTTACATGTCATATTTCTTACTGATTAAAAAGTATTGTCACAAACATTATTCCTTCTTTTATACCTATTTTTACCTTTCTCACAACATAGGAAGGTGAGAGGACATGTGTTATAAATGGAATTCAAGCTCTACTTGGTATATATCCACAAGAAATAAGAACCAGATCACGGATAGACATATGCACACCAATGTTCATCGCAGCACTATTCACAGTATCCAAAAAATGGACACAGCTTAAATGCCCATCAATGGAAGAATGGATAATCAAACTTTGGTACATGCACACAATGGACTACTATGCAATCTTGAAGAACAATGATGAACCACAAAGTCAGTGATTCAAGTTTTCAGCTCTTGCTAAGATTTACAGCTTTGGAAACCCTATATAGGGTCTCTATGAGCTAGAATATATATATATATACATATACATACACATACATATATAAATTTCCAGGGGACGTAAAAGAGTCAGCTGTATACTTTCCTATATGAGTATAGCATTCACTCTGGATAGCACCGATGGCTGAGTTCTCAACTCCTAGCTGAAATATGGGCAGTTTGAACCTCAGGGACACCTCAGAAGACAGACCAGGAGATCTACTTCTATTCTATGGATGGAACCGTTATCTTTTGCACACATGGGATCATCATGAGTCAGGATCAACTCGACCGCAACAACAAGAACAATTCAAAAGTAACGTGGATTACAAATCCTACATGCCAGTGTTGGCTGTCTGAATGCACTGAGTATGTTCTGAATGAAAAGATGATATGTCCAGATAATTAAAACACATAATAAATGATTAGTCTAGTTTTGGGGAAATCACACCACTCTGGAGGAGGACATCACGTTTGGTTAAGTAGAGAGTCAGTGAGAGAGGAAAACCCTCAGTGAGAAGCACTGACACAGTGGCTATAGAAGGGGTACAAACACAGCCAGGATTATGAGGGGGGAGCAGAAGCGGCAGTGTTTTGTTCTGTTGTATACAGGGTCGCTATGGGAGCCCATTCGATGTATTATACTGAACAACAACAATAACATATATTGAATAAGTCCTTATAATGCACTGAAGAATAAATCAAGGCTATTTTTGACTTTTTTTTGTTTTGTTTTTTTCCAGTTTACCTAAGTTGATATTAACAGAGTGGCATGTCCAACTATTCTGGAACACAGAAATCTTAGAAAATGTCCCTATGAAGAGGAAAAGCAAGGTTGCCATGATGTGTTGGCGCTTAACAACTCGATGGCACTTAACAACAACTTTTGCCACGTTGATTTTGCTATTCATTTTTTAAATTTTTATTTTATTGTAGCAATATATATACAACAAAAATTTTGTCATTTCAACCATTTCACCTGTACAGTCCAGCCACACCAACCACACCCCCATGCTGCACAACCATTACCACTATCCATTGCCAAATCTTATCTTTCTCTTTCCTTTCTTTTTTCACCCCCCTTTCCTTTCCTTTTGTGCTTTTGCAGGAAGTTCCCAATGGCTTGTCCTAATGGGAAAATAAATAGACACTGCTTCCCTTCATGTACATGGGAAAAAAAAAAAAAAAAAAGAGCGAGAGAGACAAATTCCCTATTTTTTCCTTTCCCCTTTCCTTTTAAACTGCCTTCCCCATCATTCTAGTCAGCATGTGTCTACATTCTAGCCAGTGAATAGTTCTCCTTTCCTTCTCACCCCTGGTAACCATCATAGAATACTTATTATAGAATGAAAACCGTTTTTTTTTTTGTTTTTTTTTTTTTTTGGCTTTTTACAATAGTGATCTTTTACAGTTGTGAACAACTAATTTCACTCAGTATAATGTTCTTCAGGTTCTCCCATGCTATGAGATGTTTTGCAGATTCATTGTATTCTTTAGTGGTGTGTAATACTCCATTGTGTATATGTACCAGAGTTTCTTCAACCATTCCCCTGCTGCTGAGGATCCAGGCTGTATCTATTTTTTCACTGTCTTCATCTTCTGTGACTAATGCTGCAATAAACATGGGTGTGTATATATCTATTTGTGTTACGACTCTTGTTTCTTCAGGATATATACCAAGCAGAGGGATTGCTGGGTCATACGGTAGCTCTATTTCCAACCTTCTGAGAAAGTTCCATACCAGTTTTCCGAGTTGCTAGAGTCTCACTGGCAGAGTACGAGGGTCCCATGCTCTCCACGCTGTCTACAACGTTTGTTGTATTCTGTTTGTTTAAACTTTGCTATTAATGCTGGGGCAAAATAATATCTCATTGTTGTTCTGATTTGCATCTCTCTGATGACTAGAGCTCATGAGCATTTCTTCATATGCTTGTTTGCCAACTGAATGTTTTCTTTGGTGAAGTGTCTGTTCATGTCCTTTGTCCATTTTTTAAATGGGATAATCTGTCTCCTGGATGAAGTGTTGAAGTGTTCTATAATTGTCTAATACATCATTGCCAAAAAAAATTTCCAGTCTGAAACCTTCCCTTTTGCAAACAGGAACCTGACAATGATGCCTCTTATCACCACTACTTTTAGTATTGTACTAAAATCTTAGCCAAAGATATATGGCAAGAAAGGGAAATTAAAGGCACCCAAATGGGCAAAGAAGAAATGAAGGTTTCAGTTTTTCTCCATTGAAAGTGATGTTGACTACTGGCTTTTGCGTTGTTGTTAAGAGCCACTGAGTTGGTTCTGACACAGTGACCCTGTATAGCATTTCTGAGGAGTCGCTGTAGCGTAGTGCTTACGAATTGGGCTTAGAACCGCAAGGTCAGCAGTTTGAAACTACAGCTGTTCCGTGGGAGAAAGATGAGGTGTTCTAATCCCGTAAAGATTTCCAGCCTCGGAAACCCTGTACAGGGTCGCTATGAGTCGGAACCGACTCCATGGCACATAGCCAGCCAGCCGTGAGCTTAAACCACCAACCTTGCTGGTCAAACCGAGCTTGTGGTCAAGTATTTATCCTACAGTGCAACACCAGGACACATGCCCTTAATGATATTGAGATATTTTCTTTCTATTTCTATTTTGTTAAGTGCTTTTCTTCAGGAATGGGAGGGTGTTGGATTTTGTCAAGTGCCTTTTCGGCATCAACTGGTATTACCATGTTGTTTTTTGCCTTTGTTTTATTTATGTCATGGGTTATGCTGATAATTTTTCTAATACTGAATCAACTCTGTATACCTGATATGAATCCCACTTGGTCATGATGCATTATTATATTGATATGGTGTTATATTCTATTAGCTAGGATTTTGTTGAGAAATTTTACATCTATGTCCATGAGGGATATTGGTCTATGATATCCTTTTATAGTGATGTTTTTGCCTGGGTTTGATATGAAAGTTATGCTTGCTTCATATAAGAATTCAGGAAATGTTCATTTTTCTCAAATCTGGAATAATTTGAGTAAAATTGGTGTCCAGTTCTCTCAATGTTTGGTAGAATTTACCAATAAAGCCATCTGGGCCTGGACTTTTTGTTGTTGTTGGGAGTTTTTTAAATGATTTAGTCAATTTCTTCTTTTGTTATAGGTCTGTTCAGGTTTCCTATTTCAATCCGTGTTAGTTTAGGTAGTTTGTGTGTTTCTAGAAAGTTGTCCTTTTCTTCTGGATTTTCAAATTTGTTGGAGAACAATTCTTTGTAGTATTCTGTTATTATCCCTTTTATTTCTATTAGTTTTGTTGTGACATCACACCCATATCATATCTTATTTGTGTTATTTGTACCTTCTTCTTCCTTTCTTTTGTTGATTTTATTAATCCTTTCAAATAACTTTTCTTGTCTTGTTGACTCTTTTTGTTTTCTGTTTCATTTATTTCTGTTCTAACCTTTATTTCTTTTCTTTTGGTGACTAGAGGCTTATTTTGCTACTCTTTTTCTAATTGTTGGAGATGCTGGGTTAAGGTGTTGATTTTGGATGCGTACATTTATTGTTGTAAGTTGCCCTTTGAGGGCACTGATTTTGCTCTGCCACAAAGGTTTTGATTATGTTGTGTTTTTGCTCTCATTTGATTCAAGGAATTTTTTTATTTCATTTTTTATTTCTTCTATTACACTGTGTCTTTTAAGCAGGGTAATTTATTAATTTCTTCCCTAATTTAAAAGTCTGTTTTATCTTATAATTTACTTGACTTCCTTGTCTTTTGGAAGTTCTGAAACAACACTATCCCCTCTTTGTCTTCATTATAAATTAATATCTCTGGTTCCCTGTTTTCAGTCTTGTAGCTTTGCATTACTTTAAGTACTTCTATCCTGGCACTGTGGGTTAATGCGCTGGGCTGAAAAGTTGTTTTGAACTGCAGTGTTGGCGGTTCAAGCTCACTAATTGCTCATTGGAAACCCTATACGGGGTCACTATGGATTAGAATCAACTTGACGGCACTTAACAACAACAAGTATCTGAATTAAGATTTGGGTGGTTCTGTCATGCTTGTCAATCACAACTTGTTGTCTGTAGTTGTTGGTTCTCAGTCTAAAGAACACCCTTTAGTACTTTTTGTAAAGTTGGTCTGATTATTACAAATTACTTTAATTTCTGTTTATCTGAAAATGCCCTTATTTTGCTACTATATTTGAGAGAGGTATATGATTTTTGGCTGGCATTTTTTTTTTTTTCTTAGAGAGTTTTGTATGTGTCGGTCCATTATCTTCTTGCCTTATGCATGGTTTTTACTGAGAAATCAGAGCTTAGTCTTTTATTTAAAAAAATTTTTTATTGTGTATTAAGTGAAGGTTTACAGAGAAGATCATCAGTTTTACATTTAACAAATCATTCACTTTGTTTCATCTCAATGATTGTAATCCCTTCTATGTAACAACAGTTATTCTATTTCTTCTCTGTAGTTCCTATTTTCATTTTACCTTCCTTCCCAACTCTTCTCAACTTTATTCTTAGGTACACACTCAGCTTTTGATCTTGAATGACTGACAATTCCAAGATGAGCATATCTTACTAGTGATGTTGTCCCCACTATATACTTTATCTACTGCTTGGCTAAAAATTGGCCCACGAGGATGAGTTCCATTCCAGACCTGAAGGGTGGTCAAGGGTCATAGTCTAGGGTTTCTCCAGAGTTTAGTCTTACTGGCTTTCTTTTATAGATAACTTTTTGTTTTTCGAGAGCTGCTTTCAGGATTTTTTCCTTGTCTTTGGTTTTGGCAAGTTTGATTATGATATGTTTTACTGATTTTCTTTTGGGGCCTATGCTGTTTGGTATACTTTTGGCCCCTTGAATATCTAGTTTCTCATCTTCCATTATGTTAGAGAACTTTTCTTCCAACAACTCTTCAACAATCTTCTCTGCGGATTTTATTGTCTCTTCCTATTCTGGAATTCCAGTCACCTATAAGTGACTCCATTTCATGGTATCTACATAAATCTTAGGTTTTCAATAGAGTTTTTCCTTATTTTCTCTGATTGTTCTTCTAGTTTACTAGTATAGAGAAATTTATCTTCAAACGCACTAATTTGAGCTCTCATTGATTCAAATCTCCTCTTTTCCCCTTTCAATGTATTGTCCATCTCTCAAATCCTGGTTTTAATTTCTGAATTTCGTCATGCAGGCTTTGTATTGTTTCAAGTTTTTCACTTATTTTGTTTGTTTGTTCTTATAGTACTTTCCTAATTTCTCCTAAAGTTCCTCTGTATTCTCCTTTTCTTTCCTCAGTCTTTTACTCAATCCATTGAACATACCTAAACATCACTCTTCTGAATTCTTTCTCAGGTAGTTCCATAACTTTTTCAACCCTAGAAACATTTTCTGGCCCTGCATCTTGGACATTTGTTTGAGCCATTCTTTCTTGTTTCTTCATGTGAATGGAAATTGTGTGTTGTCTCTGAGATAATGTGGTGTCATTGTGTTTGTATTTAATTCATGTTGTATTTTGGAGTGTTTTTAAGGTCTCACCAATTGCCTCCTGATGGTGTAATTAGAGAACATAATGGTAAGCCCAGTTCTCTGGTCATCATTTGTGCAGTTTAGTTTAGAGTGGGTTCGCTGGTGTTGGCAGTATATTTTAATGAGCATATAACTAATAGGAAGTCCTGGTGTGGCGCTGTGTGCTAATTTGCAAGACTGCAAAGCCATTTGAACTGCAAGATCGGCAGTTCAAGCTCACCAGTCGCTCTTTGGAAACCCTGTATGGGGTCGCTATGGGTCGGATCCGACTCAACTGTACTTCACAACAACAACAACATAAGTAATAGAGTATAAGGAATTTCCATCAAGTGAACAAAAGTCATTTTTACATTAAACCAACACATTAAGTTGTTCCAAAAAAAATACCTATATACAATGGGCTTCAAAAAGATCATGTAAAAAATCCATTATCTTTTTATTCCATTTTCCCTCAAACTTTTTGAAGGCCCTCGTATGTTTAGGAATTAACTGGGTAGTATAAATGGTTATTGGTTTGAACTGCAAGGTCAACAGTTCAAGCTTACCAGTTGCTCCTTGGAAACCCTATACAGGGTTGCTATGGGTCGGAACCAACTCGACGGCACTTAACAACAACAACAACTACAATATTATGAGTGCTTGGCTGCTTAAGGTTGGAGGCTCCATTCTAAGTCTCTGGAGCCCTTTGGCTATTATAATATCTTTTTGATTGCAGGTGCATAGGAACATATTTTAAAACAATACTAAACCAACACTTTTAAAATTTTTAAATTCTTTTGACATTTTGAACACAATTATCTCAGAAAAAAAAATATAATATATATTAAAATATATATATATAAATTAAGATTTATATATATAAATTAAAAAAATATATATATATAATAAAAATGCAAGTAAATATGGGGGAAGAACACAGCAATTATTAGCCAACAGTAACTCCACCCAAAACAGGGCTTTCTATTTAAGGAAGTAGGAAGTACAAGTTTATTCAGAGAACTTGCCAGAATTCACTCATTTGTTTGTCATGCCAAGTTCAGAACAAAAGAGAAGAGGGATTACCTGGGAATAGGGATATATCGGAGTTTCTTTGATTGAAGGTCAGTAACTTCTATATAACCAGATGTTTGTGGGGGGGTAACATCTGCAAACAAATAATAACATGAACTGAGTATTAAGTTGCTGCACAATACCAAAATAGGTCCAAAACAATGTGTGGAAGCTGCAAAAAGTAGGCTCAAATGATCAGTAGCCTTGGGTAAAACTCTTGAGACCCATTGGACAAGGTACTGCATCAAGTCTGGACTCAAGGCTAGATTCATTTAATTTTCCCTCAGGAAAACACAGGCTGTCAAACAGTCAGACAGAAGTGATTAATCATGATTCTTTCTTGGCAGAAAATAGCCTAAGTTCTTTTCACGGTGTTGTTTTTCTTTAATATTTTATTGTGTTTGAGGTCAAACTTTACATAACAAATTAGGTTCTCATTTAACCAATTTAATAGGCATTGCTCCATGTTGGTTGCAATTTTCACAAGGTGTCAGCTTGGTCATTATTGCCATTCTATTTGTTCTGTTTCCATTGATCTCATTTCCCTTCCCATCTTGCCTTCTCATCTTTGCTTTTCAGTAAATGTTGACTGTTGGTTTCATCTTTTGTTGTTGTTGTTTATTTGTTTTGTTTTTTGACAGCTTTCCAAGATACGTCAAAGTTTTAGTATTTATAGTTTCCTAGAAAACAGCTCATCACTTGAATTCTTGGTTTCCTTCTTAGGAAGCCATAACATTGCTTAGCAGTTTAAGTGGGAGAACGAATTAATCAGACTGACCTGGTGGGCAATCTTGGCTGAGATATTTCCTAACTGTGTTATACTGGCCAAGGTAATTACCTCCCAGAGACTTGTTTCTGACTTTGCAAAATGGGATACTGATGACATTTAGGCATCAGATTATTTTGAAGATTAAATGATACTGATGAATAATGCAAAGCACCTAATTAGAAGTTGCTCAATGTTGTTGTTAGTTGCCCTCAAGTGAGTTTCAATTCACAGTGACTCCCTGTATCACAGAACAAAGCACTGGCTCATCCTTTGCAATTCTCACAATCAGGACAGGGCAGTGTTTTGTGTCAGCACTGAGAATATAGAGGGGAAGGTCTCCCTGTCTTGGGGTCCCTGACTTTGGGATGCTCACAGACTAGACCGAGAAAGTTGGTTTTTATTTATTTTCTAACCATCGGGGACTCTGAGGGATATGGAAGGTGTTCAATGGTGGCAATTGATAGCCCTGGGGTCAGGTATGAACTGCAGAACTAGGCAAGGGGTGGTCCCAAGGATCAAAGGGCTCAAGAGGAAGAGAAAGATGGCCAGGGATGGCACAAGGTAAGAAAAGAGTTACTATGGTAATCTGAACACCCAGCTCAATTTACAGACTCCAGAAGGCCACTGGAATAAAACGAACATAATTATCATAAGTTGTACACTGTCTGCATTATTAAGTGCTGCCAAATCAGGTCAATCTTGGATAAAGTTTTGTACCATATATCATTTTTTGGAACAATTCTTACTGCTAGGACCTACCTGAACTAGGCCGAATTATTTATAGCACTGGGTTCTTTGCTCCAAAAGGCCAGTTCCTGAAGCAGTTTGGATAACTAGAACTGCCTTGTTAAACAACTCATAATTTTGTTTTGCCACTTCTAGCACCTTTTCTTCCCTGTAAGTAGTTGTATTAAGTTGAGCTGCTGCTGTCAGCATTTTGAGACTGCCTGTCAAAGTAAAGTTAGTCAACTTAATTTAAAGTAGCTTTTTTTCTACGTCTTTCTTTTCGTTCACTGTGCAAATGAATTCCATAGCATAAAGAGAGTGAGGCGATGCCACAATGGTTGTTTCTACTATTTCAAGAAGGAGAAAGGAAGAGTTTTATTCCTGGTGCTAAAAAATCTTTGCACATATTACTAAGGCAGGAAAGGTGTGGCTACAGAGTAAGCAGGAGAGCAGTCAGAGTGTTGATAGTTGTGGTGACAGAAGCAAGCATGTGAGAAATTAATGTCCACTGATCTGAAAATAAATCCACTCAGAAGACATGAATATTTTTAGAATTTATCATTGAATTAAAGTAACAAGAATGTCCCAGATTTCCCTCCAAATTTAGCCAAGTCTTTGTCCATCCATTTTAAATGCTTTCAGCGCACTGTAAAGAGGGAGGAAGCTCAGTACGTTTCCACTACACTTATAATCCACGTGGATTTCAAAGATAGGTATAAGTGACATTTAGGGATTAGTTCACTGATTGTTGAAGGGATACCAGTGCTACCATGCTTATCACGTAGTTAGACACATTGTGCCAAGGTTCGCAGAAGACATAAAAACCACAACTATTTTCAGAGGGAATATAATTATACTAAAAAAAAAATTACTCCTTCTAGAAATGATCTTTGACCTTCTACTAGGTTGGATGCATTGCTGTTTGTGTCCGCAGGTAAAAAGAGTGACATGTGCTCAGTAATTATGTGTACACTTAAAAATCTGGAAATTTCTCAGGTGGTACTCAAAGTTCAAAAGAAACAGTATGTCACTTTCAATCAAGAATCATTATTTTGTGTTAAATGAACACAGACTGTGATAAAAGAGAGAAAAAAATCTAATATTTAACTAGATAGTGATTGGAAGCAAGCAATCAATTTGCCATCTGGTCTACCATCTTTGAAAGCCAGCAGGAGAGTAACCTTTATAGTTTCTACTGATTTGTTTCATGAAAGGTTGATATGCATTTGTTCCTGGATGACCAGCTAGTTGGATTGTATTTACTAAAAAAACCTAATTTAGTTTAAAATTCCCTAAGAGACCAGCATGCAAATAGATTAAACATTCAAATTGGCTTAGAATACAAAATTCAGTACTGCTTTGCCCTCTCACCCAGAGACAACACTGCCACCATCATTCTTACCTCGTTGAATTGATGCTTTCATTTTAGTCCTTATCTCTTGACTTCCCTCCATGAAAAGTGAGAATTTAATTATTTTTTATCCTTACCACTCAATATATGGAGTTCTGGTATGGCGCTGTGGGTTAATGCACCAGACTGAAAAATGGTTTGAACTGCAAGGTTGGTGGTTCAAGCTCACCAGCTGCTCCTCAGAAACCCTGTACAGGGTTGCTATGGGTCAGAATCGACTGGACGGCACTTAACAACAACAATAATCAATCAATATAAAAAGAACCCAAACCCAAACCCAAATAAAACAGCCCACTGGTTATTGAGCTGACTCTGACTTAAGACAACCATGTTTCATAGGGTTTTCAATGGTTGACATTTTGGAAGTAGATCACCAGGCCTTTCTTCCAAGGTGCCTCTGGGTGGACTTGAACTTCCAACTTTTCATTAAGTAGTCGAGTATACCACCCAGGGGCTACATCTCCATTAGAATTTGGTTAGATTAATATCCTCTCCTTACATTACTAAAATTATGTATATGCTAGTCACACCTGAGCTATATTTTGTAATTATGATTATTTTTTTCCATCCTGAACAACTTTTGCTTTTCTTGGTGTTAATTACCACCATGATTTGTTTTAGAAAATTTCAAAGTACAGCTCAAAAAAGCAAAGTATTATAATGAAATGTTCAAAGATCTTGAGTTAGAAAATCAAGAGGAAATAACATTTGTCAAGTTGAAAAAACTGAACAAAAAAATTCAAGTCTCAACTTGCAAGATGGAAGGAATTTATGGGCAAAGTATTAAATGATGCAGAAAATATCAAATAAGATAGAAGTCATATGCAGAGTCACTGTACAAGAAAGATTGGGCAATGTTCAATCATTTCAAGAAGTAGTCAATGATCAAGAACTAATGGTACAGAAAGAAGTCCAAGATGCATGGAAGATGTTAACAAAAAACAAGGCTCTAAGAACTGACAAATGTATCAACAAACTGATGCAGCGCTGGAAGCTCTCACTATTCTATGCCAAGAAATTTGGAAGATAGCTACCTGGTCAACTGATTGGAAGAGGTCCATATCTGTGCCCATTCTAAAGAAAGGTCACCCAATGGAATGCAAAAATTATCAAACAATATTATTGATATCACATACAAGTAAAATTTTTATGAAGATAATTAAAAAATGGTTGCAGCAGTACGTCGACAGGGAGTTGCCAAAAATTCAAGCCAAATTCAGAAGAGGATATGGAACGAAGAATATCATTTCAGATGTCAGATGGGTCTTTGCTGAAAACAGTGAATACCAGAAATATGTCTACTTGCATTTTATTGACTATGCAAAGGCATTCAACTGTGTGGATCATAACAAACTATGGATAACATTGTGAAGAATGAGAATTCCAGAACACTAATTATGTGTATGAGCTATCTGTACATTGACTAAAAGGCAGTTGTTAGAATAGAACAAGGGAATACTGTGGTGTAAAATAAGGAAAGGTATACATTGAAGTTGTGTTTTTTCATCATACTTATTCATGCCATGGGCTTGTACGTGCAATGATTATAAGGTTGGTGCAGGATTGGGCAGTGTTTTATTCTGTTGTGCATAGGGTCGCTATGAGTTGGTACTGACTTGATGGCCCCTAACAACAACAACATTCAGTCTGTATGCTGAACAAATAATTTAAGAAGTTGAACTATTTGAAGAAGACCATAGCATAAGATTGGTTTACCAATACGCCTGGTGGGTAAAAGATGTTCATTCTATTTTTCTTTATACTTCTATGCTGTTTTAGTTAGGTGCTGTTGAGTCCATCCCAACTCACAGCAACCCCACTGTGACAGTAAAACTGCCCCCTAGTGTTGTCTGGGCCATACAAAAGAAGATTTCCAGGTCTTTCCCACGTGGGACTGCTGGGTGAGTTTGAACTGGCAACATTTTGGTTAGCAGACAAGTCCAAGTGCCATCCCATTGGGGATCCTTAGCAAGCTTTCATAGGTCTGAAATATTTTGTAATAAATTACAATGCAGAAAGAAACAAAGATACCCTTTTTACCCTTAAATGTTGTTGTTAGATGCCATCAAGTGGTTCTGACTCATAGTGATCTTATGCACAATAGTATGAAACACCACCTGGTCCTGTGCCAGCCTCACAATTGTTGTGCTTGAGTCCAGTGCTGCCACTATGGTGTCAATCCACCTTGTTGGGGGTCTTCTTCTTTTTTGCTGACTCTCTGCTTTACCAAACATAATGTCCTTCTCCAGGGACTGGTCCCTCCTGATGTTGTTGGTGGTGTTAACTGCCATTGAGTCAGTCCTCACCTATAGAGACCCTGTATTGGGTTTCCAAGGAGATGCTGGTGAGCTTGAACCACTGACCTTGCGGTTCAAACTGACTTTGCAGTCCACACCAGGACTGCAGTGCCACACCAGGACTCCTGATAGCGTGTTAAAAGTATAACAGATGAAGTCTCACCATCCTTGCCTCCAAGAAGCTTTCTGACTGTACTTCTCCCTATCTCTAAATAGGATGTAATTTTACAGACTAGAAGTCCTGGTGTGGTACTGTACGATCAACACTAGACTGCTAGGTCAGTTTGAACCACAAGGTCGGCAGTTCAAACCCACCAGCTGTTCCTCGGAAATCCTATACAGGGTCGCTATGAGTTGGAACTGATGTGACAGCACTTCACAACAACCACATTAAAGATTAAGGAGTCTTGGTGGGGCTACAGTTAAGTACTCAGCTGCTACCAGTTGCTCCATAGGAGAAAGATGTGGTCGTCAGCTTCCGGAAAGATTTCAGCCTTGGAAACCCTGTGGGCCTGACCTTTCTTCCTACTCCATCTTAGTCTGGAGACTGCTGAAACACTCGAGCTTCCACTTAGGGGTAGGTGGTGGCTTTATACAAGGTGCGTTGGTGGGTAACTGACCCTGGGTCTCCTACGTGGATGGTGAGAATTCTACCACTGACTGAGTCACGACTGCCCCACTTAGAAATACAAGCTGATAATAACATACCCCCTACCACAATCAAACACCCTTTACCCACCTTTGTAAGTTGGGGACTGATAGGTTTCTTACCTTTTGGGTAGATATCCTTTAGAGGGACTTCTCCTGTGGGCAAAATCCTGACTATCTGATTGGCGTCTAAGAGAGCCACACAGTTCCTCTGTTTTGGAGTACCACTTTTCTTTCTACCTCCATAGAACCCTGGGGGATCAGCCACACTGCGTTTACTCAAAGATGACTGTCGTTTCCAAGAATAAACTTCACTGGGTGACTGGGGTGAGAAAAAAAAAAAAAAAGAAAGAGAGAGAGACAGATTAAAGTAGTGAAGTACATAATCTCTTCATTCACCACAACTTTTAAGTAGATACCAGTGGTAAATTTACATATCACAGACAGAGGAAAATCAAATGATTCCTTTGTTGTTGTTGTTAAGTGCTTTCGAGTCAGTTCTGACCCATAATGACCCCATGTAGGGTTTCCAAGGAGTGGCTGGTAGATTTGAACCACTGACCTTGTTGTTAGCAGTTCAGTGCTGGTTTTGAACTGCTGACCTTGTGGCTCACAGTCCATTGCTGATCCTACCGTACCACACTAGGATACTCAGTCATACAGGGCATGATTGTGATTTCTTTCTTTGTAACTTCTTATTGTGAATTGGGGGAAGTTTTAAGAATTCATATGTGTTATGTTTGATCTCATTGATTGTAATTCTTTCAGTGTACCAGCTTCATTTATCCCACTTCCTCTCTGGGTTTTTTATTTCCATTCCTTTTTCTTTCCTAAGCACTCTGAATTTTGTCCTACTCTACAAGGAGTTCTGGTAGCGTAGTGGTTATGAATCGGGCTGCGAACCTTAAGGTTAGCAGTTCGAAACTACCAGCCGCTCCGCGGGAGAAAGATGAGGCTTTCTACTCCCGTAAAGATTTACACCCTCGGAAACCCTGTACAGGGTCGCTATGGGTCGGAACCGACTCGACAGCACTTAACAACAACAACTACAAAGGCAAGAAGTGACTGACTTACAAGCTTTCAAGATGGAACCTAGATTCAGAGGGCGTGAAGGAAGGTAGAATCTCCACTGAGTAGTATCCAATCTGTCTGGGTGGGGCTGATGAAATGAAATGCAGATGGGTCTCTTGTGATACAATAGTGAATAATTGTTGTCAGGACTGATTGTGAGAGTTGGAAATGTAAATATAGATGTTTTGTAGCAAGGAGGGGAGTGATTAACTTTTCAGTCTAGGATCGGAGGTCCCTGGGACCATTAAGGGAGAAGAGCAGAGAGCAGGACCCTACCCAGAGAAGCAGTGATGCCTGAGATGGAGGCAGAGATGATGACGTGGAGAGATGGAGCAGCTGGGGACTTTAGACACAGAGAGGGAGAGGGGCTGTGTGCTGACGACTGGGGGGTGGGCTTGTAGTGTGTACCCTTTGGTTGGTTGATGATGCATGGAGGGGATTGTAACCATGGCAAAGACACGATATACGATAGGATGAATGTAAAACTAATATTCTCCCATGTAAACTATCACATAATTCACAATAAAGCATTTAAAAAAAAGAACATGGCTACTTTGAGTATTGTGGTCTTTTATGATCTACCTATATGAGCTCAAACTGGCAATAGCAACTCAGAAGATTAGATAGGAAAACATAGGGGTCGTGAGTTTATGTTAACAGGGGAAGAAAGACTCAGAAAAGGAGGGTGAGAATAGTTATAAATGTAATAAACCACCAGAATGTAATAAACCACTGGAATGTACATGTAGAAATTGTTGAATTGGTGTATGTTCCCAACAACAATAACAAAATAAAATAAATTATGGGGAAAAGAAGAGTTCGGCTGTAAACAGTTGGCACTTCAAGCACACTAGCTGCTCAGCAGGAGAAAGATGTAGCAATCACCTTTGGTAAAGACTGCTGTTGTAAAGTGATTACAAGTCAGTTCTGACTCATAGTGACCCTCGCTAGAATTTCCCAGAAGTGCCTGGTGGGTTTGAATCACCAACCTTGCGGTTAGCAGTCCTGCGTTTATCCTGCCACACCAGGACTCCTAACATACTTTGTTGTTGTCATTGTTAAGTGCCTTCAAGTCTGTTCCAACTCAGAGTGACCCCATACAATGTTTCTGAGGCTTTAAATATGCAAAGGAGAAGAAAGCTTCATCTTTATCCTGCAGGGTGGCTGGTGTACTCAAACTGCCGACTCTGGTCCGTGTCAGACTTTAGTATAGTATAAATATAACTTTGATATGCACTGGAAAATCAACAAAGTCATGTGACTTGGTTAATTTCTATATTTGTCCTATTGTAGTGGTCTGGATCCAAACCCACCAGGCCTCCAAGGCATGCCTGTAATGTATAAAAGGACTTAGATTAGCACCACCACCACGACCAAACAAACCTACTGCCATCAAATCAATTCCAACCCATAGTAACCCTGTATAGAGTTTTTGAACCTATAAATCTTTATGAGAACAGATAGCCTCATTTTTCTCCTATGAAGTGATTGGTGGGTTTGAACCATGATCTTGGTTTAACAGCCCAATGCCAAACCCACAGGATCACCAAGACTCCTTTAAAATAGCACCAAAAACCCACTGTCATTGATTCTGACTCATGTTGTTGTTGTTAGGTGCCATCGAGTCGGTACTGATTCATAGCGACCCTATGCACAACAGAACAAAATACTGCCCGGTCCTGGGCCAACCTCACAATTGTTGCCACGATTGACCCCATTGATGCTGCCACCTGGCCAATCCATCTCGTTGGGGGTCTTCCTCTTTTTCTCTGACCTTCCACATTACCAAACATGATATCCTTCTCCAGCGACTGGTCCCTCCTGACAGTATGTCTGAAGTATGAGAGACAAAGTTTGGTCATCCTGGCCTCTAAGGAGCACACTGGTTATACTTCTTCCAACACAGGTCTGTTGGTTCTTTTGGCAGCTCATGGCACTTTCAATATTCTCCTCCAACACCATAACTCAAAAGCATCAATTCTATGGTCTTCCTTATTCACTGTCCAGCTTTTGCATGTATATGAGGTTATTGAAAATACCATGGCTTGGGTCAGGCGCACCTTAGTCCTCAAGGTGACATCTTTGTTCTTCAGCACTTGAAAAAGCTCTTGTGCAGCAGATTTGCCTAATGCAATACGTCATTTGATTTCTTGACTGCTGCTTCCATGAGTGTTGATAGTTGATCCAAGAAGAATGAAGTCCTTGACAACTTCAATCTTTTCTCTCCATTGATAAGAATGCTGTTTATTGGTCCATTGGTGAATATTTTTGTTTTCTTTACATTGAGATGCAATCCATATCGCAGGCCATGGTCTTGGATCTTCATCAGTAAGTATTTTAAGTCCTCTTCACTTTCAGCAAGCAAGGTTGTATCAGCTGCACATCGCAGGTTGTTAATGAGTCTTCCTCCAATCTTGATGCCACGTTTTTCTTCATGTAACCCAGCTTCTCAGACTATTTGCTCAGCATACAGGTTAAGTAAGTATGGTGAAAGAATACAACCCTGTGTCACAGCTTTCTTAATTTTAAACCATTCGGTGTTTCCATGTTCTGTTCGAACAACTGCCTCTTGGTTTATGTACAGATTCCTCAAGAGCACTATTAAGTCTTCTGGACACTCATACTTCATAATGTTGTCCATAGCTTGTCATGGTCTACACAATCGAAAGCCTTCAAAGCCACCCTATATATGGCTTCCAGGACTATACATCTTGATGGGAGTACATACTCTCATCTTTTGCCTATGGAACAACTAGATGGACTTGAACTGCCAACCTTGCTGTTAGCAGTCCAGTGCTTACCCTACAGTGCCATACCAGGACTCCTTTTAGAATAATAGCCACCAAAATAGGTGGCACAGTACTTGATCATGTGTGTGGCGCTATAAGATAAGCACTGGACTGGTAACACAAAGTTGGCGGTTCAAACCCACAGCCGCTCCTTGGAAACTCTATACAGTATGGATATGAGTCAGAACTGACCGATGACTCAACAGCAGTCAGCAACAACATCATAAAATCATAAAATGCTAAAAGATTGCTTATATGACTTTAATCCTTCATTTAACAAATATTCATTGAATGTATCCTATATGATGGGTACTGTACTAATTATGGGTGGGGGTAACAGCTTTTAATGAATCAGACAAGGTCATGATTCTTACAGGTTATAAAAGGTTCTATAGGAGTCCTGGTGTGACACTGTAGGATAAGCACTGGGCTACTAACTACCAGGTCGGTGGTTCACACTCACCAGCTGCTCCTCGAAAACCCTATGAAGGGTCACTATGCATCAGAACCGACTTGACGGCACTTAACAACAACAACAATACAAATGAGAGCCCTAGGACTAGTTTTGAGGCGCTCTGGTAGCAAGTTGGGTTATGAGTTGGGCTGCTAACCTCAAGGTCAGCAGTTTGAAACTACCAGCTGTTCTGTGAGAGAAAGATGAAACTTTCTGCCCCCATAAAGATTTATAGCCTTAGAAACCCTATGCAGGGTTGCTATGAGTCAGAACTGACTCCACGGCATATAACCATCACCAGCATAACTACTTTTATGTTTTATACTAACATATCATATTTCTATACTACTCTCTTTAATCAGAAGAAAATCATCAGAAGATAAATATTTTCAGAGTTTGACCTCAGAAAAACAGCTCCAGCATCGTCTGTCTCCACTGAGAGGAACACATGTTGTAGGAAGCTCATTAAACACATCTCTTTCATTCTGTCAAGGCTGTGCAGATATTGGATTCCAACAACATGTCTCATTTTCAGTCATATCATATTATAGCAACTGATTTTTACTTGATAATTAGAAAAGCATATGGCCAAGTCCTAAACCACGTATTATCCATTGGGTTTTGGATTTCAAATGTCTCATACGCTGAAGTACTCACAGTTCATTAATTACATTTAAAGTCTGAGGCAGAGCCCATATTTTTATCTTTTAATGATTCTATCATCCCATCTAAAATCTATAAAGAAATTATGAAAATTAAATGTTTAACCAAAACACATGGAGCTACATCTGAGGTTATTAGATGACAACTTGAACTGAAATAACCTTGAAGTTCATTTCCCACTTTCTCCACAAGGGGAAGATGGTGCCTCATTTCACCAGATGTCAATTAGAAATAGCGGTTCCTTTATGGATAAAAGCAAAAGGGCCTGTCCAAGAGAGAAGTAAATTACAGCTAGTACCATCTCTAGCACCATCTCAATGCTGCAAAGAGAGACTAAATCAGAGTAAAACACAAGAGAATTGACATTCATGAGGGCTGAAACATTGCATCTACAGTAGTCCTGGTGTGACGCTGTGGGTTAATGCGCCAGACTGCAAAGCTGTTTCAACTGCAAGGTCGGCAGTTCAAGCTCACCAGCTGCTCCTCGGAAACTCTATACAGGGTCGCTATGGGTCAGAACCAACTCGACAGCACTTAACAATAACAACAAATGAACCCCTAGACAGGATCGCTATGAGTCAGAACCGACTTGAGGTCACTTAAGAGCAACAACAATAATGATACCCTAGGGAACATGGTAGCTTTGTAGGATAAGCACTGGACTGTGAACCACGAGGTCAGTGGTTTGAGTCCACCAGTTGTTCTGCAGGAGAAAGATAAGGCTTTCTGCTCTCATAAAGATTTACACCCTCAGAAATCCTATAGAGGGTCGTTATGAGTCGGAACCAACTGGAAAGCACTTAATACCAATAGCAGTGATACCCTAACAAATTATCTTAGAAAATTATTGGAGACTTTAGTCTCAAATAGTTTCCCTCATAGAATAATGAGCTCATTCTAAGACATGATACCAAATCACCTGCACCAAGTGAAGCTCCTAACTGTGTTACAGGTACTCCTAGGTGTGGTCAATATTATTTTTCCATTACATAATGATATAATTGCATTACATTGTAGATGTTACCTTTTAAAAAACAGGTAGAAAGTGTGTTTTTAATGACTGGCTTGGATTACAGACTTGATTTGAAATATTTATGAGAAAGTTATTGCATTTTTCAATTACCCCTCAAACAGGTTCATAGGTGATGTGTCAAAGAGGAAATACTTATTCAATCATTTTAAAAAGACAAGAGGAAATACTTATTCAATCATTTTAAAAATCTGGGACTTACCATGAGATCTGGGAAGCCAACAACTATTGTAGCATAAGTGCTGTCATCAGAGAGGACTCGGTTAGGAGAGGAAATCTTTTGCCCCACAGCGGAACTTAGATTTTCAGATGACAGTTGATCACTTGAAACTTTATGAGGTATGCTGAGCTCTGCTTCTGAAAAGTATCAGACCAACATTAGACATCAAATGCTCTGAAAATACTCTGGGAATTGATTTTTTGCAAGATTTAATTCTTACCAGCTTAGGAAGAAAAACTCAAAGTAAAAATGAGAAAACATTCTAAGTTACATTTGTGGCATTTCATCTGAGAAAACTGTTTTTACAATCAAAGGCATCATCCCAACAAGATTTCAAGTATTTATGGAATTCAAAATTTATTAGCAACAAACATTATCAGCAAAGATGTGACTCTTCACCCAACCAACTGTGTTGGCAAGGGTATGTTTTAGATTAAATTTGTAAGTACTGCTCACCCGCTAAAACGGTGATGAATTAACTAGAAATCCTGATGATCTTGTGTAAAAATCACTAAAAACTAATCTAAATGTATATACAAATTCTGATTTGTCAGCTGAAATATATCAAAGACAGAGATTCCAGGAATGAGCTTCCTAATGAAGATGTGAGTGAAGGTGGACCCCAATAGACTATTGCCAATGTTGTGACTAACCGAGAACAGATGTATGCAAGCATGCACCCACTCAGCCGTCAGCATAGGAAACACTCTTTACCTTGTGTAACTCCAAACCCTGTGCTGGGCGGTTCCTCTTTCAACACATGCAACTGGCAAACCCCACGCTCCTCAGATTCGATGTGCGCTGGCTTAGTTAAGAGGTATTTCCTGTAAACAGACCAAACATCCAAAGTAAGTGAAAAGCTTCTCTTTTCCTAGTATTTGTGAAGCCAGACGAATCATTGCTTTTCCTCTTTTGTATAGGGTTTCCAACAAGCAGCTGGTGGGTTTGAGTTGCTGACATTGCAGTTCAAACTGACCTTGCAGTCCAGTGCATTATCCTATAGCACCACACCAGGGCTCTGAATAGAATTTCCTATTACAGAGTTTCTTCATACATTAGCAAATAACTTCTCAACACTGTGCATACAAATGCAGAGCACAGTAACAATGCAGGAATATATGAGGGGACTTCAAAAAATCTGTGGAAAATTTCCATTAAACTGTTCATTCCATTTTTTCATGAACTTTTTGAAATGCCCACATATGTGAATTAAAAATCCAACACTTCCTCTAAGAGGATGGGCTGTTAGTTTGTTTGTTAAGGCAATGTTAATAGGGCACTTCCTTATCATCAATGAAAGAACCCTCTCTTTATGTGACTGTTTTCGGTCAGCCAATATGTGGGTACATAACCTTTGATTTGTGACCAGCTATAGGAGTCCTGGTGTGGCGCTGTGGGCTAATGCACCTGTCTGCAAAGCCATTTGAACCACAAGGTCAGTGGTTCAAGCTCACCGGCTGCCCCTTGGAAACCCTATACAGGGTAGCAATGGGTTGGAGTTGATTCGACGGCACTAAACAATAACAATGTAAGAGTCCTGGTGTGACGTTGTGGGATAATGCACTAGACCACAAGGTCGATTTAAACCTCATGGTCAATGGTTCAAATTCACCAGCCTCTCCTCAGAAGCCCTATACAGGGTTGCTATTAGTCAGAAACTACCCGACGGCACTTAACAACAACAACATAGGACATACAGGAGTCCTGGTGTGGTTCCATGGGATAAGTACTGGACTGCTAACCACAAGGTCAGTGATTCAAAGCCACAAGTCACTTCTTGGAAACCCTACACAGGGTCACGATGAATCAGAACCAACTTAAAGGGACTTAACAATAACATAGGATTCACAATCAACACTCATGGATGTAGCAGTCCAGAAATCAAAGGACGGATTGCATTTGGCAAATCTGCACAAAACCTCTTTAAAGCGTTCAAGAGCAAAGATGTCAGTTTGAGGACTAAGGTGTGCTTCACTCAAGCCATGGTATTTTCAAGAGCCTCATATGCATGTGAAAGCAGTAGAAGAATTGATATATTTGAGTTACAGTGTTTAAGGAGAATATTAATAGTACCATGGACTGCCAGATCCAACCAATCTATCTCCAAAGAAGTACGGCCAGAAAGATCTTTAGAAGCCAGGATGCTGAGACTTCATCTCTCATACTTTGGACATGTTATCAGGAGGGAGCAGTCCCTGGATGAGGACATCATGCTTGGTGAAGCGGATGATCAGTGAAAAAGAAGAAGATCCTCAATGAGATGGATTGGCACAGTGGCAGCAGAAGTGGCCAAAAGCGTAACAACAATTTTGTTGGTGAAGGACTGGGCACTGTTTCGTTCTGTTGTGCACAAGGTTGTTATGAATCAGAATTGACTCAACGGCATCTAACAACAATAATAGGACAGAAAACCTCACCACTATAGTCCGCTGATCTATTTATTTGTAATATTCCTAATATATTTGTTTCTGTAGCATGGATTTCAGCTCATACTGGTGGTAGTGTCTGTGTGTCCCGGGTTCAGTTCCAACTCATAGCAACGCTGTACAGGGTGGTTTCCAAGACTGTAAATCTTTATGGCAGCAGAAAGCCTTATCTTTCTCCTGAGGAGAAATCTCCTAATAGATTTGAATTACTGACCTTGAAGTTAGTAGCCCAGCTTGTAATCAACTATGTTACCAGGGTTCCTTATACTGACTTTATTGTTGTTAAGTGCCATCGAGTCAATTCTGACCCATAGCGACCCTGTATAGGGTTTCCAAGGAGCAGCTGATGAGCTTGAACCGCCGACCTTGCAGTTCAAACGGCTTTGCAGTCTGGCACATTAACCCACAGCGCCACACCAGGACTCCATACTGGCCCTATAGGACAGAGCAAAAGTAATTGCCTGAGAGGGTTTCTAAGGCTACCCTCTTCACAGAAGCATATCGCCACATCTTTCTCTGCTGTGTTCAAATCACAGACCTTTCACTTAGCAGCTGAGTGCTCAATGGCTGTAGCACCAAGGCTCCTCTAACGTAAGGATGTATCATCAGAAATCTTTTGTGACCAGCCATCTCTGCTTGTCAGCATGTGGGGGAGGGAGGGAAGGGCGGGCAGAAATCTTTCACCTAGCTAGTGCAGTGTAGCATATTGCCTGGTGGAGAGGACTCAAAATCCACTGTGCATATTTAGGGTTAAATATGTATGCCAAGAATTCCAGAATGTCCCCTCCATGAAAAAATGTACAGTCCATTGGGGGTGGGTTGTAGACCTCAATAAGAACATCTATGATAAAAGGAAGAAGAATTTTCTATGGGATGTATTCTGTAAAATTACCAAAAATACCCCCACAAAAACAGCTCTAGAAAGGAGACTGTGATCCTTTGAATGGAGGATGCACTGAAAATCAATTTGGAAGTATCTTCAGTTTGGCAAGAATACAGCAAATTCCCAGTGTGCTGATAGGGAAAAACTTGAATGAATATAGATCAAACATAATTTTTTTATAAATTATTTTACTGTTAATTTCAACCTTTCTCTGAAGCACTTTTATAAATACTCTGAGAAGTGATGTTTAACTTATTTTAATTTTTTCTCCCCTCACTCTCTCCTAATTCTCATGTATAGATATGCTGCCAAACACAAGGATTAAGGAGTTAGAAGACAGATATAAGGAAGACAGAACATAAGGACGCTGAGTAAAGAGTTTGAGCTACAGTTCCGTCCATGAAACACTACATAGATCTACCCACTGGTTTGTTCCGTTCTCCACCAGAAGCCACTTGTCTTCCGCGACAAGGAAAACTGTCTTGAGGGTGATGGGAAGCGAGATGGTGTGAGTTCGTCCTTCCAGAACATCCAGCACAATGAGGCTGCTCCTAAACAAGGCAAAGGAGAAAACAGAGTGACAGGAAACAATACACCATGGCACAATCACTTGGTGGGGTACTATCTCATCCTTATAAAGACTGTGTTTAAAACTAAGTAAGAACACCGGAAAAGCCAATTGTGAAAATGGATATAGATAACCAGTGGAGTGATGCACTGCATCGCTGTTGTGGTTGTACCGTGAAACTGCGAGCATTTTCTTTTTTTTATATCTGTTTTTAATTGCTCTATGATGTGGGCTGAACCATTTCTAATCTGGTTACATAGCTTTATAGTAACCAGCCCAGTTGCTATCAAACTGACACCAACTCATGGTGACCCCATGTGTGTCAGCGTAGAACTGTGCTTTATAGGGCCTCCAATATAGATAAGCAACCTTTAACATCCAGGACATGTTCTGAAAAACAGGATGTGTGTGATTCGTATATTGTGTGAATGCCATATTGTAAACGTGTGGGAGCCTGCTTCTGGTTGTCCCCAGCTACTGCTGTTGCTGGAGCTGCAGGCAGAGCCTGGAGGAACAGAGCTCTAGCAGTGGTGGCAGCTAAAAGGTAGGGAGCAGAAGTGGAGCAAGAGGAAGGGAGTGGGGAGAGAGGAGAGAATGCCCGCCAGCCTGGTGGGTCCCAAGAGCAGCTCAGCCTCCCAGTCCCTGCCTGCAGGCTAGACAAAGCTCTAGTCCTCCTCTGCCTTACCTGCTGCATACCTTACCACCCATGGTCCAGTGCAAGAGTCTAGACTGGTCTCTTTAAAGCTTAATAGGGGGAAATATAAACAAAAGGAGAGCAGCTTTCCCTTTAAAACAAAACAAAACAAAACAGAAGACCTTATGGGACCCTGTAAGTGATGGATGTTCAGTGATTATTATATCTGTAGTTGATTTTTTTGGAAGCAGATGTAAATAAGCCTTTCTTCTGAGGTGCCCCTGAATGGACCTGAACCTGATGTGCAGCTGAGTGTGTTAACCATTATAATACAATTTCTAATAAACAAGTATAATGAAAACCAGAGATAGGATGGACAAAGCAGGAATCCCTGTTTGAATCTTCTACAATAAAGAACTCACCCTTTTTCTTTGTAGAATACTAGCCAGTTTTTGTGTGAAAATTCTTTACACATTTTATAAGTTTCCTAAAGGCAAAAAAAAAAAAAAAAATTTATCCACAATCAGGTAAAGGCGTGTCTCTTCAGCGCTGCTACTTAAAAAAAGTCCTTTGATGTGTAAACTAAACCATGAAATTCTCAGAGAAGCCATTGTTTATGCACACTAACTAAGCAAGATGGATTCAGGTATAGTTCATAATTTCCTGTGGCGCTGTAGAATCGGCACTGGACTTTGAACCACATGGTCGGCAGTTCAAGTTCACCAGCTGCTCCTTGGAAATCCTTTACGGGGTCGCTATGATTCAGAACAGACTCAACAGCACTTAACAACAATGGTACTTAAAGCATTTTAGAATAATATTCTTAAGGAGCATGTCAGATACTGGTTAAAATAAACATTCTATTTGGTGATCAGTACTGGAATTCATACCATACCAGAAATAAACCAAAACCCAAACCCACTCCCATCAAGTGGATTCTAACTATAGGACCGGATAGACTTGCCCCAGAAGGTTTCCAAGGCTGGTGGTTAATCTTTACAGAAGCAGACTGCCACATCTTTCTCTCGTGGAATGGCTGGTAGGTTCGATACCACTAGACCTTTATGGGTAGCAGCTAAGTGCTTTAACCACAGCACCACCAGGAATCCTTATAACATAAATACATATGGTATATACATTGTTTTTCAGATTTAAATACATTTGTAATATTTTTAAATCTCTTTTTTTAAAGGGTCTTTGAGCCTTATTTTATGTCCCATCATCTCTTTCTGAATCAGAGAATAACTTCTCTTGGGCTAGCCTACAATGCTTACTTACAGTTTTGATCTAATAGGTGTGATTCAGTGTCTTACTCAGGAATTCATCATAATAACCCAAAACATATATAATTAACTGAAGAACAGGTTACATTCATAGCAAGATTAGAAATTCTTATGAATATCATACTCAAACAGCTCATAATGTTTTACTAGATCAATTCTGGCAAGTCTTTGTATGTGTGTGATGGATATAAAATGAAGCTCTTGATATTTAAATATATATCTATACAGTATTAAATAATAAGAGATCATTCTGTGTACTATATAGTAAACCAAAGGCTCAAAAGGAATGGGCAGGCATGCGTCTTTATGGTTAGAAAGGCAAGTCTGGCATTCCTTACAGTGTCCTTGTTCCACCAGGAAGAGCTTTTGTTCATACTTTCTTCTTTGGGAGAGAGGATGAGGCGGCGAAGGGTTCGGCCGGTTATATCTAACAACAGGACGACATTACTCTGGAAATAAGAGAACAGTGAGAAACTCAAGATTTGCTCCTTTTGAAAAAGCAGCAGTGTCTTGGTAACCTGGGATTGGAGGTTACAGTAATAAATCAGAGGGAAGACAAAAATAACGAAGAACTTCAAAGGTACTGTGATGGGTTGAATAGCGGCCCCCGGAACAACAATATTGGCAGTTCAAGCTCATCGGCCATTCCTCGATCGCTGTGGGCTGGAACCGACTCAACGGCACTAACAAAGGACATGTGGAAGCCCTAATCCCTTGTACCTGTAAGCATGTCCTTGTTTGGAAATGGAGACATTTTAGAGTAGTTGCCCTAACCTTCATGAATGAATCCAGTCCAAGTAGTGCCTTTATAAAAAGAGACAACATGGGGAAGACAACCTCGTGTTGATAGAGGCAGAGACTACCATGAGGCATCTACGAGCCAAGGAAGTCCGAGGATTACTAGGGACCACCCAAACCCCCCTGCCATCTAGTCAATTCTGGCTAATAGCAACCCCATAGGACAGAGTAGAACTGCTCCTTAGGATTTCTGAGACTGCAAATCTTTATGGGAGCAGATGGCCTCACCTTTTTCCCTGGGAGTAGCTGGTGGGTTTGAACCTTTGACCTTGAATGTAACAAGCCAACAGTAACCCATTGTGCAGCTAGAGCTCCTTAGGGACCATCAGGAGCAAGGAAAAGTCAAGACAGGACCGTCTCCTAGAGTTATCAGAGAGATAATGGCCTTGTGGGCACGTTGATTGTAGACTTCTGGCCTCCAGAACTGTGTGGCAATCAATTCTGTTGTTTTAGGCCATCAAAGTTGCAATATTTTGTTACAAAGGCACTAGGAAATTAATGCATATCTTAAGGTCAGCGGTTCGAAACTACCAGCCACTCCGTGGGAGAAAGATGAGGCTTTCTACTCCCATAAAGATTTACACCCTCGGAAACCCTGTAC